GATTTTATACATACAGTAAACACTATGTTTGGTACTTGGGTATACATATTTGGAATTGTATATAATATTAATTATTTAATTATTTTATTTTCAGGAGTGTTTGTAATGGATTTAATAAATACTAACACCAATAATTATGCACTATAATTATTTATAAGTGCAACAGTATTTGTGTTTTTTTTCTTGATTACTGTGGTTTAGACTTTTATTGTAACGTTTTTGACATTAGCTGCTATTACACAGGCTCTGGGATTTGCTGCGCATGTGCAAGAGCAGGAAAGGGTAAGTAAGTCTTCGTAAAGTATCTTTATTAATGTCAACCTGAGTGGGCGAGTTCATTTACTCCTAATGTTATTTTCTCTTATTTCTTTATATTCTGCCTGCCTTCATGAAATGGAGAAGTTCAAATATTTACTGGAACACGTAGGCAGCTCTTTCGTTTCATTTCCAAGTGATGAGCTTCTTGCTGTTAGTCATGCTAAATAATTAGATTTGACCTTAGCATGCTTCTTGCAATATCATTGTTTTACATATCAAATCCTATTCTCTTGTAAATGAAGTATTCATGTCTCAGTTTGAAAGATGACTTGTTACTCACTAAGGTGAATATATTTTTGCACTAACCAGTGTTTCAGCCCAAAAAACAAAAAAGCACAGTGAGTTACCATAGCAGCAACAACAATTCATTTTATAAAAAATCCTTCCTTAGTTTGAGGACTCATTCTCTATCGGTTCATTGGTTACCATAGAGCTGTGATGCTAACAATGGCACAACAAATGATAGACTACATTACCCATAAGGCTCAGATTATGCAGAAGTGACAATATTAAACATCATTACCAGAAATCTTTGTAAGGAAAAAACAGAACGAACAGTGCACAGATATCACAGGGTTAATATTTTCAAATGAAAGCATGTAGGGTTCATTTACTAAAGTGAGAATTCAAAGTGAATTTCACATTGAAGTTTACAAAAGCCGGAGAAATTCTCAAAGCCAGTTATGCTGTCGGTACGACTACGTTGGCCTTAAATTCCAAATTCACTTTGAATTCTCACTTAGTGAATAACCCTGTTTGACTTTGTAACACTGAGTCACTGAACACCATATTGTAGTGAATTGCAAACCGAGCTGTGCAATCTAGGTTAAAATAACGGATTTTGAAAAATGCTATAACGCATTAATGGTCACAGGCTATTTTAAAACTCAGTTTTTCTATTCATTACAATCCAGTGTTTAGTGATTACAACTCAATGTTACCAATCTGCAAGGAGGGCCCTGGCACAGACATGGCTCAAATCAGAAATGCCAAATTTAGATAATTTACTATTCCAAATCAAAGACAACTATCTAATGGACAAGTTGACTGCTCAAGTACAAAACAAAGAGGCAAAGTTTGCTTAAGTGTGGCAACCCTGGGAGGTCTGCGTGGTGTGGTGATCGACCGCTGGAGTGTTGGGGTGGTTGTACCAGTCCCCCCCCCCCTTTTAGGGAGTTGCCTTCCTTCAATGTATGTTCGCACACCCTTCTTCCCACCCCCTTTTTTTTCTTTTCCTTTCTTTTCTCTTCTTTTTTATATTTCTACATATTGTTAAAATAACTAAAAATAGTTTGGTGACGGAACCCATAGAGACGAGATATACCAGACAGTCTTTATATGATTGGTCACTTATACTATTATTATAATAGCTATTGATATGCTGTTTAAATCTCTTGTCTTGTCTAAACTTAAACGTACAGCCTGATATATGCCTTGTCTTACCAAACTACATGCATTTCTGTCTGATTAAACTCATAAATAAACAATTGATAAACAAACGTGTAAAAAACTAAATTCTCCGGATGTACATGGTCACAGTCAAATCTTCATATCCTTTAAGAGATTTTGGGTAACATAGCTCAATACAGAATGCACCTGTCATGGTTGATTATATTTATTATCTATTATGTGTGAAATGTATATATGTGTGTATGAATGTATATATATATATATACAGGTGATTCTCAAAAAATAAGAATATCGTGCAAAAGTTCAATTATTTCAGTAATGCAATGTAAAAGGGGAAACTAATATATGAGATAGACGCATTACATGCAAAGCAAGATAGTTCAAGCCGTGATTTGTCATAAGTGCGATGATTATGGCTTACAGCTCACCACTGAAGAGACATTCCTACTTCTTCTGTGATCCAGATCTTTTGTTTCTATTCTTGATTGAACTGCTCTAAGAAAATGTTTGGTTTTATTCTCAGGTTCCAGTGTGCCCACCTCACTAAAACGATAGTTGGGGACATTGTTCCCTGTGATGGTTGCAGTTGATACTTGTTGAAGTTCATAAAACAGTCGAACTCTTGTAAGTCCTGAATGACTGTCTCTGTATCTCTTATCAGCCTTCCTTTTGCTTTGTTCTCAAACAGTATATCTTCCAGATAATGGAATATTCTGATTCCTTATTCACAAAGGAGAGCATTGAGGCTGATCAGGATCTTTGTGAATGTACTCGGTGCAAAGCTTATACCAAACGGCATACCTATGAATTGGAAATGACTGTCGAAAATCTTGAACCTTAGATACAGTTTGTACGCAAGTGCAACAGGGATGTGATAGTATGCATGTAACGGACCGTTTTTGCACACCAGGGGTTAAAACCGTTAATGCGATATTCCCCCTTTCAGATGCACAGGCACAGCTACTGCAGAACACCAAACTCCCAAACTGAATACAAGGGAATGCTTCAAACTCCCTAACTGCATACAAGGTAATGCTCCAACTCCCGAACTGCATACAAGGGAATGCTCCAAACTCCCGAACTGGAACCTCACGAATAGCTGCTAGCAGACGAACAGGAAAAGAACCCAAGCGGCTTACACTCCTGGCAATCAGTCTCTAACAGCATACAGTAAATCCCCCCAAAGACGAGACAAGGCTCCGTGTTGAGGGTCAAGCAGTGGTCAGTCAGAGCTGTGGGTTTATTGTGCTTATGTACACATTCTTACACATTAGTACCACCCACAGGGTTTTGGAACACAACCAATAAACACATACAATACACTCAGACACTCCCACACAAAATCCTCCCCTCTGCCTGTGATTCAATTACCTTACACAATGGGTAATGTAATTATAACAAGCAGAGAAATACAATTTTTCCACATTATTCATAACTTGAAAAGTATGCATCACATTCACATTCAGAATCAGCATACTCCAAATACAAACATATGTCAAAATCATACAAATTGGTCCAGTGGTTCAAAAGATAGATCGTAGTCCTTTGTGATCAAAGGAAGCATGGCTTTTCTGCCCAAAACCAGTTCCACAGAGTCTTCTATCCTGGAGATAATTGGGAAGTAATCCAATTATCTCCAAAGACAGAGGCAAAACTCCATTGAACACATGGCAGCAAAAGACAATAAAACACATAAAAACATATAACTGTGCAGCCATTGCACAAAACAGGTACATTCAACATATCCCCAGATAGCTCAGATATGAGCGCACATTATTACTGAATGGTGCTCAGAGCACACACATACCGTTCAATTGCCATGGAGCCAAAGTCTTTCCCATAGTCTTTCATTATACGAATGGGCTCCATGGCATAGCAATCTGGGGTATCACCGCTCAAACAGGGCAAGCACCAAATGACCCGGCTTTCATGTCTTTGCAGGGGAAAATCAAGCCTTTTAACATGGGGCCATAATCCAAAGGCAACAGACGAGCAACCAGGCTTCTCCAATGCAATGTGGTGAGATTGGTCTCGTCACATCGCGTTTTGAAGATCTTTGGAGGTTAGCCATTCTGTAGGATATATATTTGAGAAATCATAGTCTGAAGACTCTCCATCTTGAAAATGATCTTTCTTTCTTTAATAGCAAGTTTACCTTTTTCAGGTACAAAATAATTCTACATTTCTCTGATGGCTATGGGACAAGAAAAACAGAAGAATAAATTCCTTGGAAGGAATATAACAAATCACTTCCTGTTGAATGAGATTTCCTTGGCATTCTTGCATAGGTTTTTCATTTTCTCTATAACTTACAGAACTGAAAGATCTGTGATGTTCAAGAAACAGATTCGATTAAATTTTGCAAGGCTGGCTCCTACATTGAATATCTGTTTCCTACCACCTGCCGAACAAACTATTTCACTCTTCCAGGTTTTGGAAGATTGACTCTGTTGTTCCTTACAGTAGGTTACATAGCTACATAATAATAAATTATGTAACCAGGAACAGTACATTCCGATTACTCTGGTTTCCAAGTACATCCAGGGGTCGCTACTAATACCCAAGGTAATGGTGCTCATTTCATCTACCTCAGAGGGATGAAGAGCCAAGCCAACACTGCCAGGATCTGAACCTACTTCCCCCAAGAGGGGGGAATAGAGTCTTCTGATGATGTATTATCATGCTGAGCTATCTCACTGACCTCTAACTGCCAAGAGACTTGCGTCCACCAAGTTCAGTCTCTTTCATATATGTTTTTTCTGTTGATTCAAAGAGAGGCAAAATAACCCATCTGGAGCGCTTCTAATTTTGCAACAAATTAGGAACTAATTAATTCTTGACCCCAAAATGGCAGTAAGATATCTCCTTGGATCATGGCACTCTAGAATATTCTCTCCCAGGCTATAAGATCTGTAGCCTCAAACGAAATTTTGTTCTTTGTATCCTCTTCTCCAACCGCTAGGATATTGCTTTATTCTTCTGTCTTGGGTTTTCTAAATAGAAGATTTCCCTGAAAAGGAAGTAGGTATAGGTTAGTTTTGATTAATTATTTGCATCCAATGTTCTCAACCAAAAGGCTTTCTTGGCTGAAACTGATGGGCCCGTAGCTTTGGGTATAAGCTTGCTGCACTATCTATTCTTAAAACAGTTATTTTTGCCACTTTGGTAATGGCCGTATCCACTTATAGTTTTGTGTTTTTAAAATAGTTGAATTAATGGCACCCAAGTAAAGGATTTCAAGGTAACTAAGAATTCATAATTTTTTTTTTTATGGGGAGCATCAAGATTTGAACTTGCAACTTCTTGATCTGTATTCACATGTTCTACCACTGTACCATACTCTCAATTTTCCGGAATTGCATGTCTGATGATTGGAATGGGAATACTATATTGACTTTCCCTTGGGTTAAAAAACATGTTTCCTCTTCATTCTGATTCTATCAGATCTTTAATGATGGAGTATATAGGGAAAGCAATTCTCCTGTGGCGGTCCTCAAAGTATATATCCGAGTCCTTAGCTTCTCCACAATACTCTGGGATCCTTACAGTGTCTCTAATTAGATAAATTATTGAATCAACCACTTAACCATCTAGGTTAGAAGGGTAATCCATGCTCTCTTTATCCTCTGATGAATTAGAGCCATCTGGGATCTGAACCTCTGACATAGAGCTAGAGGAATCTTCCCATGCTTTTTAAGGTTTTTTAGAGAAATGTCTCTGCCTCTGTCCATGCGTTTCACAGTACTGGCTTCATCAGGACCTGGAGTTTTTGCTATTTATTTCTTTATTTGAATCTTTTTATGTGCATTATAACTTTAAAAAAGCATCCAGGCTAGGTTTTCCCATATTTACCAAAAATAAACAATTTATTTATATCATGCTTTTCTCCAAATGACATTTCAGGCTTAAGAACACTCTTTTTTAGATATAATTTGAATTTGCTTTTTTTAGTCTCAGAACAGAATGTTACGTTGACCTGCTAAAGGAAGAACATATAACACATTACCCAACTTAGCAAGATCACCATCTTCTGTTGTGTTACCTGATTTATTACATTTCTATCTACTTCAAACTGGCCATAGGTTACATTTGTGCTACTGCAATATTGTATCGAGAAAACATTGGGTTTTATCTAAAAAAAAATATTATTTTTCAGAAAAATTTGTTCGGATGATAAAAAAAGATACAAAACAAAAAGTGTTTTGAAAAATCGAGTTTATATTTCGTTTTTTTCAACCTTGACAAATGCACGATTGAATCTGTTTTTGATGGCTAGCACAGATTAATTGAATTATTATTTCCTTGTAAAGACACATTAGAGATAATTTAGTCAGTGCTATATTTTTAAATAAATAATAAATGTTAAAAGACATAGTAAAAAGAAGACATTCATTTTGATTTCCCAGAATGGGTGAATGGGTACTTTTTGCACTGTTATTTTTATATTACCATCTGTGGTTGTTATTTGCTATTATACTAAATATTTTACTTTAATCGTTTTAGTGTTTGGAAACAACTATTAACATTAAAAAACAGTGTGTGTTGGAGACTGATAATTTTACTTAACTGTTCATTGTTTGCAATTATTATTCATTGTATCAAACAAAATCTGGGAATAATATGTTTTTCAGAACATTATTGATAGTTCTCATAGCATTTACTTTGAAATGAGTGGATACTTATAATATAAAGAATTGTGTTAGAATTTTATTACCATATATTGAATGCCAAAATAAATTGAAAATGAAACTGATTGCATGTTTTTCTGAGTTTCTGAAGCTCAATTCTAATCTCAGGCAAGTTGAGACGAAATGGTTCACCAGAAAATGAAGAATGTAAAAATCCATATTTTAACTGGAATAGGGAATGGAGTGTAAAAGCACACAATTTTAGGATGATTGGAAACACCACACCATTTCTTATTTTTTTGCTGATAAATGAGATTTTTGGTTTGGATGGATTCTCTGTACATTGCAGAATCAGTGATAAATAACAGGCACTTTTTCAGAAAAAAAGGCACAGGCATTGCAGTTAAGGAAAACTAAGTTGTATACCTAACACTATAATGCCCTCTTGTTCCTCCTCCTCCCTTCGGCACATAAAAGGTTAAAAAACCCTTTGTTCATTTAACCGATTCTAGTTCCAATGTCCTTCATGTAAGGTTGCCTTTTCCCTCCTCTGACATCATCCAATGGAGGAGTCATGAAACTCCAGGAAGCACCTCTAATGGCTGTCTGGTAGATAGCCACTAGGGGCAATCTTAGTACTGCAATGTAAACATTGCAGTTTCTCAAAAATGGGGGGACAGTGACAAAAAGGGGGAGACAGTGACACTGCACCCAGACCATTTAAGGCACCGGCATTGCTGGCAGAGTGGCCTGATGAAGAAAATGAATTACAATTCTGTGTGTTTTACATGAGAAATTTACCTGCAAAGCTAAGTAACAAGCAATACCCATCCGGGTGCCTTGCTGAATTAAAAGACACACAAACATTGCATAAAAATTGCTCACAGACCTAAATGTTTTTTTTGTTTAGTTTTTTTTAAACTCACATTAAAAGAAAATCTATTGAGAAGCAACAGGTAATGCTTCCTGATATTATTTTTAAACCTTTGTCCCTCTAATTTAAGACTATGTCCTCTTGTTGTGGTAGTTTTTCTTCTTTTAAATATAGTCTCCTCCTTTACTGTGTTGATTCCCTTTATATATTTAAATGTTTCTATCATATCCCCCCTGTCTCGTCTTTCCTCCAAGCTATACATGTTAAGATCCTTTAACCTTTCCTAGTAAAAGAAGAAAAACTACCCCAACAAGAGGACATGGTCTTAAATTAGAGGGACAAAGGTTTAAAAATAATATCAGGAGGTATTACTTTACTGAGAGGGTAGTGGATGCATGGAATAGCCTTCCAGCTGAAGTGGTAGAGGTTAACACAGTAAAGGAGTTTAAGCATGCGTGGGATAGGCATAAGGCTATCCTAACTATAAGATAAGGCCAGGGACTAATGAAAGTATTTAGAAAACTGGGCAGACTAGATTGGCCGAATGGTTCTTATCTGCCGTCACATTCTATGTTTCTATGCAATAGTATTTAAATATTTTGCATTGCACTGATAGGAGCATTTTCCCACCATTCACTTCACAGGTCAAGTGAGAAACAATAACTAACAGAGGAGCAGTAAAATAAATGTAAATTACATATATATTATACTGTGATGGAAAAAAGTATTTGATCCCCTGCTGATTTTGAATGTTTCCCCACTGACAAAGAAATGATCAGTCTATAATTTTAATGGTAGGTGTATTTTAACAGTGAGAGATATAATAACAAAAAAAATAATCCAGAAAAATGCATGTCAATGAGTGAAATAAGTATTTGACCGCTTCGAGTAGGGGCATTACTACTGTAATGTAACCTGTAAAGTGCTGAGTACACCTGTTAGCACTGTGTAAATAAAATATACATACACTGTATACCTACTGCACTTACTGTACCTCCCTCTACTGTAATGTAACCTGTAAAGTGCTGAGTACACCTGTTAGCGCTATATAAATAAAATATACATACACTGTATGCCTACTGCACTTACTGTACCTCCCTCTACTGTAATGTAACCTGTAAAGTACTGAGTACACCTGTTAGCGCTATATAAATAAAATATACATACACTGTATACCTACTGCACTTACTGTACCTCCCTCTACTCTAATGTAACCTGTAAAGTGCTGAGTATACCTGTTAGTGCTATATAAATATAATATACATACACTGTATACCTACTGCAATTGCTGTACCTCCCTCTACTGTAATGTAACCTGTAAAGTGCTGAGTACACCTGTTAGCGCTATATAAATAAAATATACATACACTGTATACCTACTGCACTTACTGTACCTCCCTCTACTGTAATGTAACCTGTAAAGTGCTGAGTACACCTGTTAGAGCTATATAAATAAAATATACATACACTGTATACCTACTGCACTTACTGTACCCCCCTCTACTGTAATGTAATCTGTAAAGTGCTGAGTACACCTGTTAGTGCTATATAAATAAAATATACACACACTGTATACCTACTGCACTTACTGTACCCCCCTCTACTGTAATGTAACCTGTAAAGTGCTGAGTACACCTGTTAGAGCTATATAAATAAAATATACATACACTGTATACCTACTGCACTTACTGTACCTCCCTCTACTGTAATGTAACCTGTAAAGTGCTGAGTACACCTGTTAGCACTATATAAATAGAATATACATACACTGTATACCTACTGCACTTACTGTACCCCCCTCTACTATAATGTAACCTGTAAAGTGCTGTGTACATATGTTAGTGCTATATAAATAAAATATACATACAATGTATGTGGCAAACCTAGCCACTTGGACTAAAACAGAGACAATATGGTTTTAAGGGTTGCCTGTATATTTATTATGATTGTATATGTCCCTGGTTGTAATCTTCTGGATCCTGTATGTGGTATTGACTGTGTTAGCTATCTGCCAAAAGCAGAAAGCCATGTTCTATTCCGTTTCACGAACAACGCCTTTGCGGACCGTTCGTGAACCGAATGAACACTCTAGTAATAGCCCACACACTAAGAGACGTGTGGCGCTTGTTAACCGATTGCAACAATGTTGCAATCGGCAATTAGAGACTCTCCAAGGTGGCCGTCGTTCGACTACCGACCACGCGGCGGTCGTCCATCTTGGATCCTTTGTCTCTCCAGCGGTGTTCGGTCGTCGAGCGCGTGGTACTGAAAATGGCTACTCGACGGCACGAACACCGCTGGGCTTCCAGGCCGTTCGGGAGCTCCGGGCTTTTCGGTATTTTACTTCCCGTATAGCAATCGGTCTTTTACGCGCGTGTTACAATTAATATGTTTTTTGTGCGACGTTTGGCTGTTTTAGCTGGGATCTGAGCGGTAATCTCACGAACTGTGCACTCAGACCCCAGCAATCTGCCGAACGTCCAATTGTATAAATTCACCGAATACAATGCCAGTTATGTATTTTAATGTGAATTGCCGGTTCTGCTGCACGGAGGGATAATCCACTTAACGGTATATTCCAGTGGGAGTATCCCTCTCGTGCAGCAGTGCCTGATGGGAGAAATGCCCAGAATGTTAAGTCCCCCATGTAGTCCCCTACTGTATTACCCCTGCAATGTTAGTAGGGAAACCCCTTGCATGGGGACTTGCATAAATACTGGAGCTGCAAATAAAGACCTCAGTTGACTCCCAGAACTGTGTTTCGGCTGGTTACTGGGGGATTTGGGATATTGCCTTGCTTTTCAGTGCTTGACTGTGGATTACTGTATGTACCAGCGGAATT